GACCACGACATGCGAAACGCAGCCAACGAGCTCGAGACCATCGCTGAATGCCTGCAGCATTGGGCCTCCGACTGGCTTCCATCGATTTACCTCGCTCAACCACCTCATGAATGGGACGCCGACGACTGGCATGAATGGTGCGAAACCTTTATTCTTCGTCATCTCCGTCGTGGCGGTTTTCAAGTCCTCTTTCGTGGCCAAACAGAAGCACAACTCCGTCGGCGTGCTGAACGTATTTGCACGCAGGCATGGCAGTCAACCGCGGCACCCAGACTCCAGACCACCGCTGCGTTCAATCTCCCCCGCGCCGCCGAATTACAGCAGAGGTTCGATCGTGCAGCTGCCGAACACCATGCTCGGCGTCGCTGGATCCACGACGCCGACTTCCAGAACAACGACTCGGACTCCACGCCCGTGATCACTGACGACCTCACCAACGCGTACGCAGACGACAACGACATGACCTCCCTCATCCAGTTACCGTTCAACGTGAAGACCGCGTGGAGCCGCCTCCGCCCGAAGATCGCCGAGCTGCCGCCCTCGCGCTTCTGGCCAGTGATGAAGACGCTATCGGGCGGGTGGGCCACGTCTTACCGCATGCACGTACAGCCTATCTTTCGAGGTTGTGTTCTTGGCTGCAACCCAAAGTTTCACCCCGACTCCTTCAGCCACTATTTGGTCTGCAAGCGCTTGTGGCACCACGCTGCAATGCCTCGAGGACGACTTCGTAGATGCGTACTTGCCAGGCTTGGCCTGCACGACACCAATTTCGACCCGAACGGGGCCGAGGACGACAAGATTGACCACGTGCTCATCCGTCTCGCCGTGGTCTACAGGTTTTACCACTCGATCAAGATCGACGGCTGCGGCGACAACGAGTACAACATCCACAAGAACTACATGCAGACCTCTCGCCTCGCCCTGAGGCCGGGCCCGTGCGCGCACGGCGGTGCGCGCTCATTATAGATCGACGCGCCTCTCCCAGGGGTTCGTTCGCTCCTCCTCCTCCTCCTCCTCCTCCTCCTCCTCCTCCTCCTCTCTCCTCCTCCTCTCTCCTCCTCCTCCTCCTCCTCCTCCTCCCTCCTCCTCCTCCTCCTTCCTCCTCCTCCTCCTCCTCCTCCTCCCTCCCTCCCTCCCTCCCTCCCTCCACTTCCCTCCCTCCCTCCCTCCCTCCCTCCCTCCCTCCCTTTCTCCCTCCCTCCTTCCCCCCTCCTCCCTCCCTCCCTCCCTCCCTGCTCCATCCCACTCTCCTCTCCCCTCCATGCCATCTGCTGGCCACAGCCGCTCCGGCCACTCTCCGCCGCTGGCTGGAGCGCGCTCGCGCGAGCCCCCGCGGCCGCGCGCGAGCGCGGCCTCGCGCTGCCGTCGCAATGCGGGCCGCCGGGGCGTAGGGCCCGGGGCCCATGAGGGCGCTGGGCCGCAGGCTGCCGGCGCCCCACCAGAGGACGCCTGTCCTCGTCCTCGCTGCCGCCTCGCCGGTCGCTTGTCTTCTCATGTTTCTCTTGTTCTATCGCCTCCCCCTCCCATCCTCCTTCTTCTCCTTCTCCTCCTCCTCCTCCTCCTCTTCCTCATCCTCCTCCTCGTCCTCCTCCTTCTCTTCCGCCTCTTCCTCTACTCGGCTTTTCAAGCTTGAGCCCAACATGTCAGCGGGCATGCAACCTTCCCTGCTCTACTTCCTCCCTTCTCTCTAACTGCATCGCGCCAGGAGGCGGCCAATGTGATATTGAGCTTGACACTGGTACCTGCAATGTTTCGAGTGGCGCAGCAGGGTGGCGCAAGCCTCATGGCATGAACACATCACGTCGACAAGGAACGTGTTCGACACGAAGAGATTCGGCTCCAAACGCAGAAACCGTGTCCAGAGAGTTAGCTGCTGCTCTCTTTGTCCGAGTACTGCAACCAAACCAACTGGGATTAGATATTGGTCACCGTCTGCGTGCTCGTCCTACTTCTTGGCCGCGATAGTCACCAACATGAGATGATAGAAGTGCAAATCGCCTGTCTCAAGGAAAGTCTGGAACATCTCGCCTGTAATGCAATGGTTTGTAAGGCTATTGGCGAGCATGTCTTTGGTGTCACACCAGAATGCATGAGGAACCTTATGGATGAGCCTCTTCGCGCGTAAGGGAAGAAGGATGAGCTTCTGCGATCTGTCCTGAGGAGTTCCTATCATGCCAGTACACAGTTCAGAAAGGTCTTGGCAGTCCGTCATGGTGTCGATGGGGACGTCGTAGCGGGCACCCCGCTAGCGCTTCGATCAGGTCTTCCGACGTAGGCTGATTAGGCCAGGTCGTTTTGGTACAATGCGCAGCAATCAGTTCACAGTGAGTCAAATATCCGTGCTGGCTGAGAGATGATGCGTGCGATGTTCTGTGGGTAGTCTTTTTTTTCCTTTCTTGGCCGAGAGCATTAGACAGTGTCCGTTACCATTGTTCAAGTCGGGCTTGATATTACCAGGAGAGGATCGGCCATACATTCGGTCCGTCATCTTGATGGCCATCTGCCCCTCAATTTGCGTAGGATGTCTTGTTGCTAGCGTGACTGGCGTCTGCTATAGCAGCCATGCAATACGGTGGTTACAGTTTCACAAACATCAGTCCAATATGCGCAAACTGCCAAGCTCCACGCGTGATGGTGTTGGCCATCCTCAAGTGTATGATCTTAGCGCTGCACACGTGCTGGTGCAAGACGACAACGCCAGCCATAATGTCAACACGGATATGGCACGGAGATAGCCGAGACCCCACAGCACATCGTAGGGTAGTCATCTGGGCTGGAGTCAGCTTGGTGTCATCTGAGGCACCTATGGGTATCTCCACCAGCTTGACGGCCAGGGCGAACTCCGTGTGATTTAGTTTGTAACAGTCTTGGTCTTGTCAGTAATACCGAGGTGCTGGGTAGAAGGCTTCACCACGATCGATTGCCTTTGCGATCCTCCATCTTGAAACAACATCTTCTTGAGCTCTCGAGTGCCTGCGACGCTCGTGTCGTCTACATGTCGAGCAGCGTCTCCCACCAGGGTGTTGTCAGCGTCGTGCCAGGTATGGAATGTCTCGTCGGACCGTGGTGAGCTTCGCCAGGAAATGTCCCGAACGCAACTGCCAAAGAAGCGGTGCCTCGTTCAGCCCATACAGATTGCCTTGAGAAGTCCTGGACCAGATTCAGAAAAAGTTACAGGAGGGCGCTCCCGGGAATTGCAAATCTCTGAGGTGAAGCCAGGCACTGTCGGGAATGACGAGGAGAACCTTTCGTTTGATGTCTGGCATGCGTACCTTGAGGGCCCAGCACGCCTCTTGCAGCTGCTCGGACCTGAAGCCTGGGAGGAAAGCGCTGCCGACGTCCCACTCTTCAGTGTCCCAGTCACTGTTAGCCTTAAGTCGGGCGTGTCCCTTTACGGGAGGAGTCTCCAAAAATAGTAAGAAAATAATCGGGAGACGATTTTTGAGTAATTTTGGCATTTTGAAGCATTTTTGGTTGGTGTATTGAAAATTTGTCGTCCTAACCCCGCCTGTAGGAGGACATGCCCGACCTAATGTTAGCCGCGTCGCTGACAAGGAGCTTCCGAGAAAGCCTGGTGTCAGTAGTGCTGCGCTTGGCGAGGAGGTGTTTCTGCGGGTCAATCGCCACGACCACGCAATCTACTCTTGAGGTAACTCGTGGCAACGTTCCGCCCGCTGCTCGTTTCGATTTCCACTTGCGAATCAAGACGCAATTGATGGCCAACGTGTTCGTGTATCCGATTTTCGGCGTCTTGAGCACTCCGCAGTTCGTGAAGTTGGCCAATTCCCGCTCGATGGGCCTTGATAATGTTCGCTTCAAGACGAACCATGTCCTCGGGAGTGAGGTTGTCTTGTCCGTCTGGGAATCGACTCTGAAACGAGATCCGCCACGAACGTCTATCCAAACCAGGCGCAGTACTGCCAGGGCCCTGGCACTGATGCATGTGCCGTTGACCGCTCAGGTACCACAAGAGGAGAGGTAGCTCTCTGCCGAAGGGAAGGCCCCGGCGAGGAAATTGACGCCTGCAATTTTCATGTCAGTGTCGCATTCGCAGAACATCTCACCCAGCATGTCGCGCCTGTCGTGTCATTATTTGAAATATGATCCGCGTAGCAAGTGGTCGTGTGATTTGTTGAAGTAAAGCGGCGGAACCCAGTCGTCCAGGCACGATGGTATAGTGTCGTCGTTGCGCTCGAGTATGGGTTGATCCTCGGCAGTTTGTTCGATCGGAATTCAAGCATCTTCTCTTACCGGTAAGATCGATGGTGATGGTCCACTTCCTGCGGTCGACGACTTTGAGGGCCCGATCCAGACGATGGCCAGGGTGACAGGATATCTTGCCCCATCCAGCTTGCATGACCGAGAGCTGTCCGAAACTCCAATGCCTTCAACAACAGGTAGGCGAGGAGGACCGCATTGCAAAGGAGCAGGATACTCGATGGTCGGCTGCTCCTGCTCTTCTGGTGGATCGGATAGGGAACTGTCTCGGATGATTCCTGCGACTGCGCTAACTCATTCAGGCGGCTGCTCCTTGATGGCATGCTGGAGCAGAACGATCGTGAGTACGATTTGCTGCTGAAGTGTCTCGGCGTCGCGACCGATTCTGGAGACTGTTTTTCTGGGGGGGGGTCCGCGATAGCCCGAGTTATCGGGCTCGCCCCCCCACCCCCTCAAGGATAACCTAAACTAGCCGGTTGTGCAGGTTCGGGGGTGGGGGGCGCAGGGAGCTTGCAGGGAGCGTTGTGTTCAACGGCGCGGTGGTGTTCGCCACAACATGCTTTTGGTTGGATGCACGTTGGCGAAACGTTGGGGCTTGGAGTGGCACAGGGAGGCGACGACGACGATGACGACGACGATGACGACGACGAGAGACGAAAGACGAAAGACGACAAAGGACAGAAGACAGACGACAAACGACGATAGATGACGCTCGACGACGACGAACGACGACGACGACGACACCGACGACCGACGACGACCGACGTCGTCCATTGGCATCTAGACGTGCACGTGAGCAGCGCGTAAGCAGGCATTGCGTTGTGCACAGACAGCGAGGCGATTTGGTGCGCGCCTTGCTGCTGTTGCAGCAAGATTTGTTGTGTGCGCAGGCGTTATGGTGCTCGCAAGCATAAGTGCACGCAGGTCGCACGGTACACGCGGGCATCGTGATGCACCCAGGCAATTGGGTGAAGACAGGCTTTGTGGTATGCACAACTGTTGCAGCAACATCACTTATCATGCACGCAGGCATCCCAGGCAGGGTGGTGTACAGAAGCACTGTGGTGTACAGTCATTGCGGTGTACCACACCTGATGGTGCCATCCGCTGGAGTCCATGTGTAGCACTTCGCGCAGAGTTCCGAGTGCGAGGCTTTCCAATCGAATCCCTTTGTGGCGCTTTCCAAGGGATTTCTGATGTGAGGCTCTCAATAGAATCTCGCTGGCAGCTTTCCAAAGGATTCCTCGTGCGTTTCTTTCCAATAGATGCCCTCAGCAGTGCTTTCCAAACGGCTCCGATTATGAGTTTTTGTCGACACAATCCCTTGGTAATGCTTCGCAGCGGATTCTTGTTGTGCGGACATGGAATATGTTTGCTGTGCTTTCCAAAGGGACTCGCTTGTTATGCTTCAGAAAGGAGATGCGTATAATGTGTATAGAGGCACATGGAGAAAGCGAAAGAGGAAATGTAAGGGTAATGGTGAAGACAAGGCTGAAAGCTCGTACAAACTCTTCTGGAACACCGAGGGACTCCACAATCCCCCGGCCTCTTCTCCTCCCCCTCCTCCTCTCATCATCATGGTTATTGCCCTGATTATGTTCATTCGTCATCCTCCTCTTTCTTTTCTATTTCCCCCTCCTCCTCCTCCTCCTCCTCCTCCTCCTCCTCCTCCTCCTCCTCCTCCTCCTCCCCCCCCTCCCCCTCCTCCCCCTCCTTCTCCTCCCCGTTCATCCTCCTCTTCTAACTTTTTCCCATATGGCTCCTCACTCCTGCTCCTCCTCCTCCTCCTCATTATTTCCCTCTTTGTTTTCTTCCTATTCCCCATCATTTCCGTCCGTCGCCTTCCATCTCTCTCTTTCTATCGTTCCTGTCCTTGCTCCTTGTAGCCGTCTCCTTTCCTCCTCCTCTCGGAGGACCTCCCCATCCACATCGAAGTGCTCGCCTCTTGTTCCTTGATTTCTTCTCCTGCTTTTTCTGAGGGCGCGCTCGACCTTCGCGTGATTTTCTAAATCTCCTCCTCCACCACCTCTTTCTTTGCCGCGTCATCCGTGGCCTCCTTCTCCTGCTTATCCTCTCCATCTTATTCAGTAGGATTACGTCAGTTGTCATTGTTACGTTGATGAACCCTCCACTCCTCCTCGCCTGCTCCTCGCACGCCCTCTCCCTCTCCCCCTCCTTTTCGTTGCCCTCCTTCCCCCCCGTGGAGTGGACGATTGGCGTCCTCGCCCCCCTCCCTCCGGCCTCGTGCTTCTTCCTCCTCCTAGAGTGCTGCTTCTCGGGGGATCACTCCCACGGTGATCCCTCCTTCCCGCCTCCTGCCTCCTCCTGCCCCCCCTCGCCGCCGCCGCGGCCGCCACCGCCGCCACCGCCAGCCGCCGCCGCCGTCGCCGCCCGAGGTCGCCGCCTGCCGCCCGCCCGCCCGCCCGCGCCGCCGGCCGCCGCCGCTCCCGGCCGAACACACGCCGCCGGAGGCTCCTCCCGCGCTGCCCGCCGCCGCCGAGTGCGCGGGCGGCCGCCTGCTCGGGGCCTCGCCGCTCGGCGGAGGCGCCGGCGGCGTCGGCGCCGACCGCGGCCTACGGGGCGGAGTTCCTCCGGCAGGCGAGCGTCGTCGCCGCCGTCGCCGTGGTCGCCGCCGCCGCCGCCGCCGTCGTCGCCGTCGTCGTCGTCGTCGTCGTCGTCGTCGTCGTCGTCGTCGTCGTCGCCGTCGAGGCTCGAGGGTTAAGGGTTGAGGCTTGATGATGATGATGATGATGATGATGATGATGATGATGATGATGATGATGATGATGATGATGCCTTTTGATCATTTGCACCGCTGTTCGGGTCTCCGGAAGTCTCCAAATATTCAAGACACAGAGATTTGTTCATGTTGGTGTACGGGAGCGGTTCCGCACGCTCTCGCCCAAACGTCGGCTGCATTCCCTCTGAAAACAAGGCTCCCGCTCGAGTGCGGGCTTGGGGGCGAGTTCTGGTTGTTGAGTCCCCAGCTGCGACGACAAGAACCCCCGCCAGTTCCTCACATTCACGCCGAGGCGCTCTTTCCTCTTTCAAGATTACCCCAGCGAAGCACTTTAGTAGTGACAGGTGTGGGTGCTGAGCAGCGCCGCCGCTGATGGTGCTGATGATGGTGACGAAGCCCTTGGTGCTGAATGGTGTCGTTGCTGATCCTGCTGTGACTGTCGCTGCTGCTGCTGCTGGAAGGAGGCGGCGATACGGGATGATGGGCATGACACGGGGGAGCGTAAGACCCGGGTTTGCCAGGACTCGGGTTCGCCATCGTTTTTTGACGACCGCGCCTCGGATTTTGACGAGGAGGAGTTTCGTGGGATGTCTGCAGCGGGAGGCCTCGTCAAAACGCAGGCTCGGCCTCGTAATTTTTTTGACGACTTCGTCGGGGATTTCCGAGTCCCCTGTACCCAGGTCTTACGTCCCCCAGGAAGGAGGCGGTGATACGGGATGCGGAGAGAGAGCTGGAGAGGAGGAGGAGGAGGAGGAGGAGGAGAGGAGGAGGAGGAGGAGGAGGAGGAGGGAGAGAGGAGCGAGGAGAGGAGCGAGGAGCGTGGAGCGAGGAGCGAGGAGCGAGGAGCGAGGAGCGAGGAGCGAGGAGCGAGGAGCGAGGAGCGAGGAGCGAGGAGCGAGGAGCGAGGAGCGAGGAGCGAGGAGCGAGGAGGAGGAGGAGGAGGAGGAGGGTCTTCTGCGAGCGCGCCGGAGACAGCTTCTGCCGTCCGAGCGGAGTGGCTCGAGAGCCGTCCGCTCGGCGTCGTCGTCGTCGTCGTCGTCGGCGGCGCCGTCGTCGTCGTCGTCGTCGTCGTCGTCGTCGTCGTCGTCGTCGTCGTCGTCGTCGAGGCTCGAGGGTTAAGGGTTGAGGCTTGATGATGATGATGATGATGATGATGATGATGATGATGATGATGATGATGATGATGATGATGATGATGATGATGATGATGATGATGATGATGATGATGATGATGATTCTGAGTATGATTATGATGATGATGATGATGATGATGATGATGATGATGATGATGATGATGATGATGATGATGATGCCTTTTGATCATTTGCACCGCTGTTCGGGTCTCCGGAAGTCTCCAAATATTCTAGACACAGAGATTTGTTCATGTTGGTTGTCACCGTCGTGGGCATGGTCCTGGTCATTGTCGTCGTCTTGATCGTCGTCGCCGCGATTGCTGTCGTGGTCGGGGGCGTGGTGGTGGTGGTCGTCGTCGTTGTGGTGGTGGTCCTCCTCGTCATCATCGTCACGGTCGTGGTCGTTGCCTTGGTCGACATCGCCGCTCTTATCGTCGTCGTCGTTGTGGTCGTCGTGGTGGGGGTGGTCGTCGCCTTGGTCATCGTTGTCGAGGTCGTGGTCGTGGTCGTCGTCTTCATCGTCGTGGTTGTTTTCGTTGTCGTTCTCGTCGTCGTCGTCGTCGTGGTCATCGTCTTCGTCGCTAGCGTCGTCGTCGGCCGAGGGAGGGGGAGAAGGGTATGAAGAAGGAGGAGCCGAGCAGAGCACGAAGCAGGCGGACGGAGCCAAAGAAGGAGGAGGAGGAGGAGGAGGACGACGAGGAAGAGCAGGCGCAGGAGCAGGAGCAGGAGCAGGAAGAGCAGGAAGAGCAGGAGGAGAACGAGGCGCAAGAGGAGGGCGGGGAGTATGAGACGAGCAGCGGAGGAGGAGAAGAAGAGGCAGCCGAGCAGGAAAATTGGGGCGCGCGAGGGGGGAAGCCGGCCCTCCGCGCGCTCGATCTTCGCTCCAATGGCGCGGTGACCGCTGCTGCGCAGAGAACGAGCAGCGGGCCGTATCGAGAGGGACCTCGCGCGGACTGGCAGCACCGGCCGCCAGCATTACCGGCGCGGGCCAGACGCGAAGCCTGGCTTCATCGCCTCTTCTTCCTCCTCCTCCTCCTCCTCCTCCTCCTCCTCCTCTTCCGGCTCTCCTCTTCCTCCTTCTCTGCGGCTCTGTATCGAACCATTGGCCTGCACGGCGGCGTTCAAAGCCCCCTAGACGTGATGCTGACTTCTCGTGGCTTGCTGTCTTGGTCTAAGCCCCCTCGAGGGGATGCGGATTGTTTGGGGATGAGCTTGCTTGCGTGTAGGAAAAATGACACGCAAAGCCTGGCTTCAGGGGAACGCCAATGAGCGGCGCCAGCACGACTGGCGCCGTTCGGGTGCTGCGCGTCCGTGCGCGGCAGGAGGACCTTGATCTCGAAGCTGCGATGCCGTCGTCCAGGCCGTCGACGGCCTCCCTGGCGCCCCGTCCCAGACGAGCTGGGGCAGCGCGCCGGGGAAGCGCCCAGTGCGGCAGAGCTGCTCCGCGTCGGCAGCCACGTGCTCGTTGGACCGCTGGGGCCACCCATCGTGCCCACCTTGAGGCCACCTCGAGGTCCTCGAGGTGGGCACGGTAGCCAACCCGAGGCCCGCCTCAGTCGGCTCCGTGCCCACGAGGGCAGCGCCCAGGAGGAGGAGGAGGAGGAGGAGGAGAAGGAGGAGGAGGAGGCGGAGGCGGAGGCGGAGGAGGAGGAGGAGGAGGAGGAGGAGGAGGAGGAGGAGGAGGAGGAGGAGGAGCAGGGCCCACAGGGCCCCACGGCGTCGGCCCGCTCGCAGCGGAAGCTGGGCTGCTGTGGCCAGAGTCGTCGAGCACGCGCCCTGCCGGGACCACCGCCGCGCGGCGAGCTTCGCGTCGGCGGTGCCTGGCGACCTCGGCCGGCGAGGGGGATTTGACCGCCGCCTCTTTGGTTTCTCTGCAGGCGCCTCAGCAGCACTTGGCCAGCGAGGGTGGTTTGGCCTCCTCCTCCTCTTTTGTTTCTCTGCAGGCGCCTCAGCAGCAGCAGCAGCAGCAGCAGCAGCAGCAGCAGCAGCAGCAGCAGCAGCAGCAGCAGCAGCAGCAGCCGGCGGTGCCACGGCCGCGGAAGCGGCAGTGGCCACGGCCGACCTCGCCACCACGGCGACGGTACGGCGCAGTGCCTTGCTGAGCACCACGGCGCGGACTGCAGCCTCCGCGAGGATAGCGTCGTCGGCTGCGTGGCAGGCGCTTGCCGAAGCTGGAGAGGCGAAGCCGTGCGATCGCTTGAACCATCCAGTCTTAAGCCGTGCGTGTCCCTCTTCAGGGGGATATTCAGGAATAGGTAGAAATACTCAGGGGGCAATGTTCCTACTATTTTAGGTCATGTGTGAGAATTTGTTGATCATATCCCAACCATCCTGTGGTGTTGGGTCGTCGTTTTCAAGAGACGGTCCCCGCGTTCACTCCTCCTCCCACTGCCCCCTCCGGTCCCCGTCATCACCCGTTTCAGCACACCTCTCACACGCTTCGTGGCCCCATAGGGAGCTCCACCGAAGGCCCCAGTCGGGTTGCCCGCATGCGTCCGCCACACCCAATACACCGTTTCGTGGCCTTCTAGGGAGCTCCACCGAAGGCCCCAGTGGGGGTGCCCGCATGCGTATGCCACACTTGGTACAGCGTCTCGTGGCCCCATAGGAGGGCCAACGGAGGCCCCAGTGGGGGTAGCCGCACGCGTCCGCCACACCCAGTACAGCGCCCCGTGACCACATAGGGAGCTCCACCGAAGGCCCCAGTGGGGGTGCCCGCGTGCGTCCGCCAAGCCTAGTACAGCGCTTCGTGGCCCCACAGGGAGCTCCACCGAAGGCCCCAGTGGGGGTGCCCGCATGCGTCCGCCACACCTTGTACAGTGTTCCGTGGCCCCATAGGGAGTTCCACCGGAGGCCCCAGTGGAGGTGCCCGCATGCGTCCGCCACACCCAGTACAGCGTGTCGTGGCCCCACGGAGCGCCACCGGAGGCCCCAGTGGGGGTGCCCGCATGCGTCCGCCATGCCCAGAACAGCGTTTCGTGGCCCCACACGGAGCTCCACCGAAGGCCCCAGTGGGGGGGCCCGCACCCACCACAGCACTTCGCAGCCCCATAGGGAGCTCCACTGACCGCGTCACTGGGGATGCCCGCGTGCGTTCGCCACATCCAGTGCAGCGTCTTGTGGCCCCATACGGAGATCCAACGAAGGCCCCAGTGGGGGTGCCCGCATGCGTCCGCCACACCAAGTACAGCGCTTCGTGGCCCCATAGGGAGCTTCACCGAAGGCCCCAGTGGGGGTGCCCGCATGCGTCCGCCACGCCCAGTACAGCGTGTCGCGGCCCCATAGGGAGCTCCAGCGAAGGCCCCAGTGGGGGTGCTCGCATGCGTCCGCCAAGCCCAGTACAGCGCTTCGTGGCCCCATAGGGAGCTCCACTGACGGCCCCACTGGGGATGCCCGCGTGCGTCAGCCACACCCGGTACAGCGTGTCGTGGCCACATAGGGAGTTCCACCGAAGGCCCGAGGGGGGGTGCCCGTATGCGTCCGCCACACCCAGTACAGCGATTCGGGGCCCCATAGGCAGCTCCACCGAAGGCCCCAGTGGGGGTGCCCGCATGCGTCCGCCACACCCAGTACAGCGTTTAACGGCCCCACAGGGAGCTCCACCGAAGGCCCTAGTGGGGGTGCCCGCTTGCGTCCGCCACACCCAGTACAGCGCTTCGTGGCCTTCTAGGGAGCTCCACCGAAGGCCCCAGTGGGGGTGCCCGCATGCGTCCGCCACGCCCAGTACAGCGTCTCGTGGCCCCATAGGAGCGCCACCGAAGGCCCCAATGGGGGTGCCCGTATGCGTCCGCCACACCCAGTAAAACAGGACCTATCGTCTTCGTTCGTGCCGTGTACCCCGCCACACTTTCCGGCGCACCGCTCGCACGGGCTGTGGCCCCATAGGGAGCGCCACCGAAGAAGATTTTCATAATTGCGGTATTCACAACCGCATATGGTTGGGTCCTTCGCCAGGCTAATTTTCATTGTTTGTCCGAATCCGCCTGTAGGAGGACGCGCTCGACCTAAATCCATTCTGGGTCTTATTCATCACGTGATTAAAACTCCTATCCCGATGATTTGCGTGGCCTGATTTGGGATAGCTCCTGCAATTATGAGGATAGGTGGGTCTCGTTCAGCGGGACTCTTTTCTTGACATGCAGGACACGGAGGAAGCGGATCAGGGAAAGAGGGAGGGGGGGTAGGGAGGGAGGGAGAAGGAGGAGGAGAAGGAGAAGGAGAAGGATGAGGAGACGGAGGAGGAGACGGAGGAGGAGACGGAGGAGGAGACGGAAGAGAAGGGAGGAGAGAGAAGGAGGAGAGGGGAAGAGGAAACGGGAAGAGGGGGAGGTGGAGAGGGGAGAAGGAGATGGGAGGAGGGAGGAGGGAGGAAGGAAGGGATGATGATGATGATGATGATGATGATGATGATGATGATGATGATGATGATGATGATGATGATGATGATGATGATGATGATGATGATGATGATGATGATGATGATGATGATGATGATGATGATGATGATGATGAGGAGGAGGAGGAGGAGGAGGAGGAGGAGGAGGAGGAGGCGAACCTCGGCTGGCAGGCGAGCGACTGGGAGAAGCGCTACGAGCGGGTGGCGTCGACGGGCTCTGCGCCAGAGGTCACGGCAACCAAAACCGTCAGCAGCAATCGATATTCGGCCTCTTCCTCCTCTTCCCCCTCGTCCCCCTCGTCCCCCTCCTCGTCCTCCTCTGTCCCGTCGTCGTCCCCGTGACTTCCCCGCCTCACCCTCCTTTGTCTTTTCCTTGCGAGCACTTTCCTCACTTGAAAGCAGTTTCCTGGCGTGCACCAGCTGACTGTGCAAACTTTCCACCACCGACAACAGCAAATCAAGCAAACAGCAGCACTGGCAGCACTAGCACAACACACCGACCACCCACCACCCACAGCAGCAACAAAGACACCGACCCACCAACTCAGCCCTTACCGCCAACACCGACCACCACCGACCAACAGCACCACCATCACCAAGCAGCACTGACCACCACCAGCCAACAGCATCAACCACCACAGACCACCACCGATCACAAACACAAAACACCGACTATCAATACTGACCACATCACAAACATCGACCACCAACACTGACCATCCACAGGCAGCACCGACCACAAGCACACTCCCGAACCTCGTATTCTTCATCTTCTGCTTGCCCGGGGTCGTGTACTATTTCACCCACGCCTTTTTTTGTGCCGGTTCCTGTGCTACGTACGGTTGAGGGACAAATTTAAGCAACACTCCCCCTCCCACCGCAATTCAAAGTTGGCACGTGTACGCATCACTGGTCTGACACTCCAGCTTGGGAGATCCAGGCCCAGCATTGCATTCGGGAGGAGGGGGGGGAGTTCACACCATATGTTACGCGTGAGTATTGCTGAATTGTTGACGACACCTGGATCTCGCCCACCTTCCCCTCTGCGCCAGTTTGTCGACTGTTCCACTCACACTCTCTACACCCACACGATCTGAGGCTACGGCCTCCTGCGCCCTGCCCAGAAAAGGAACACGGGTACTTCCATGCCACGCTCTGCCCCGCTCCTCTTCCTTACACAGCTGCCCTCCTTCTCCACACCCTCCCGCCTTCTCCCTCGTCCTTCTCGTCCTCCTCCTCCTCCTCCTCCTCCTCCTCCTCCTCCTCCTCCTCCTACTTGACCCGCTGGCATGCCCTCGGTGGCCCCGATCGTTCCTGTGTGTTTCGACTGGGGGGCAGCCCCCGCGAGCTGTTTTGCAGTCTTCGGGCGGGGGTGGGGCTGCCAGCAGCACAAGACGCGCGGGGCGCACGGGGCTTTCCCCCCGCTGGTTGAGCCAGCATGGGTGGGGGGTGGACGTTTCTGTGTGTTTCGCCTGGGGGGCAGCCCCCGCGAGCTGTTTTGCAGTCTTCCGGCGGGGGTGGGGCTGCAAGCAGGGGAACGGAGAATGACATAAACATAAAAACTCGGAGGTCCGCGCGGCGGACCTCCGAGTTTTCTAATGCTTAGGTCATTCTTCGTTCCCCCATTTCCCCCCGCTGGTTGAGCCAGCATGAGGGGGTGGACGTTCGGTGCTTCGGAAGCGCCGCCACCTGCTCTGGCCCACCTCTCCTCCTCCTCCTCCTCCTCCTCCTCCTCCTCCTCCTCCTCCTCCTCCTCCTCCTCCTCAGGCCCCTCCTCCTCCTCCTCCTCCTCCTCCTCCTCCTCCTCCTCAGGCCCCGTCGCCTGCTCCACGCGTTGATTGCCGATGGGGATGGGGTCGCTCGGTAGGCCGATGCCGGTCGCTCGGCCCTGGCTCGCTGTGGTCTCGCGCGTGCCAGCCCTGCACGGAGGGCTGAGCTCCTCCGGGCCTGGCCTGGAGACGGAGGAGTCTAGCCACGGGGCGCAGGCCGGCATCGACGGTTGGCCCGCGGGAGGATGCAATGACTGTCGTTCCTCCTCCGCGTGTTCCCGATTCCTCTCCTCCTGCTCCCTCCTCTTCCTCCTCCTCCTCCTCCTCCTCCTCTCCTCCTCCTCCTCCTCCTCCTCGTGCTCCGTCCTCCTCCTGCTCCTGTTCCTGCTCCCCCTCCTCCCTCGAACTCCTTCTCTTCGTCCTCATCCTCCTCCTTCCGTCCTTGCCCTCCTCCTCCTCTTCCGCTTTCTTCTTCTCCTCCTCCTCCTCCTCCTCCTCCTCCTCCTCCTCCTCCCTCCTCCTCCTCCTCCTCCTCCTCCTCCTCCTCCTCCTCCTCCCTTCTCCTCCTCCTCCTCCCTTTTCCTCCCCCCCCCCTCCCCTCCTCCTCCCTTTTCCCCCCTCCCTCAGACGGCGGCCGGGGCGGCGCAGGCGGCGGCGACCGCGCCCCCCCGCCGCGAGGCGGAGGGGCCATCGGCCCGAGCCGCCGCGGCTGCCCCCGCCGAGGAGGACGACGCGCGCCGGGAGGAGCCGCCGCCGCTGCCCCGCGGAGAGCGCCGCTCGACGGCGGCGGCGGCGGCCGCGACGGCGAGGAGGGGCAGGACGACGACGAGGTGGGCGGCCACGACGGCGAGGAGGGGCAGGACGGCGACGGGGGCGGCCACGACGACGAGGAGCCGGCCGTGGCGGGAGGCGGCGGGGGGGGCGGAGGACGGCGGACGGGGGACGGCCGGAGGACGTCGGCGGCGAGGAGGACCGCGGCGGCGACGACGGCGACAGGCGCCGCTCGACGGCAGCGGCGGCGACGGCGAGGAGGACGGAGGATCTGAGTTGCCCCGATGCGCCCGATTGAAGCGCAGCGCGTACCGTGTTCGAAGCGTCTGTGTTAACACGTTGCGTGTTGGCTCCACGTGTTGGCCCACGTTTTGGCGAAAGTGCCGTCAACATGTGCGTTGTGCTCCGTGTCAACACGCTGTGGGTTGCGCGTTGCGTATCGGGGCGGCTGGGCGGAGGATATAGTTTTGGCGGAGGACGGTGGAGGACAGACGGAGGACGGAGGACGGTGATGGCGAGGAGGACAGCAGCGACGACGGCGGCGAGAAGGGCGGAGGATACGTATAGGTTCTTGGGACGTTTGAACTTTTGTCGCGTCTCTGGAGACCCTGAGCGACCTCTGAGATCCGGGTCGCGATGTTTGAAGACTGGGCGTCTCCCCTTAGTTCCGGGAGCCCCTGGGCTCTCAGAGATCGATTCGGCCAGGAAGTGCCGTTCGAGTCCTGATTTTCAAGATCTGGATTTTTCTCGCGACGTCGGATCTTTGGGGAGGACGGTGGCATCGACGTTTTTTTCGTTTCGGGGGCTTTTGTTGTTGTTTCTCGAGGTTCTCGTCGCAACGATTGGGTGCGACTCGGAAACCGGGCCAGGATACACCCTGCGAGCGGGTTTCTGGTCGGGGACGCCGACGACGACGACGGCGACGGCGACGGCGACAGCGACGGCAGCGGCGGCGACGGCGGCGACGGCGGCGGCGGCGGCGACGACGACGACGACGACGACGTCGACGGCGACGGCGGCGACGACGGCGACGACGGTGACGACGACGACGACGGGGGAGGAGGAGGATGAAGAGGAGGAGGAGGAGCAGGAGGAGGAGGAGGAGGACCACTGTAAGCCAAATAATCATCAACGATGTTGGAATTCACCCTCCCTCCAAGCTCCCTCTTCATAGGCCCCATAACGGTTTATTTCCATTCAGGGAACTGCCTCGTCGGAAGACACCCTTGAAGACCCTGAAGCATGCCAAAACACCGCAAATCTACATAACTGTTGCACCCGTATAATCCTGAATCCTGAATCCTTCCGAAACACTACGTTGATCATGGGAATCCGCAAAACTCGTGCAAATGCTGAAAAGCGCGGCGCGAGGGCGAGAGCCACATTTTGAAAAGGAACAGCCCTCAATCCGTGAAGCCCTTGCAAGTGTTTAAAACCGAGTGTGCGCGGCGCTAAGGCGAGAGCCAGATTTAGAAAACGACCCGCCCTCAATCCGTGGAGCTCTTGCGCTTTTTTTATACAACACAACAAATAACAAAAAGACGAATGTGCGCGGCGCTAAGGCGAGGGCCACAGTTTTAAAACGACCCGCCCTCAATCCGTGAAACTTGTGCGATTTAAAAAACGAATGGATGTGCGCCGCGCTAAGGCGAGAGCCACATTGTGAAAACCACCCGCCCTCCATAAGTGGTAAGGGAGTCTCAAGCGAAACGCCCGGCCCGCTCTAAACATTGGCCTCGGGGTGCGACAGGGAGAAGTTACCTATCAGGAGAAGTAATGGAGGAGGACGAGGTGGTGGAGAGGGGGATGACGTGGGGTGGCTGCGTCGCGTTCGACACTATAGCCGCGTACAGCATACAAGAGGAGGAGGAGGAGGCAAGAGGATGAGGAGGCAGGAGGACGACGAGGAGGGTGACTGGATTTTGTGAAGTTTCTTTCCTCTGTTTGGCTCTTCGGGAGGGGCCCTCGTCGCCACTGCCAGGCGCGCCTCGAAAGCCGAGCCAAAGCGCGCCCTCGCAGAGGCCCAGGGGCCGAGTTTGAGGGCCAGGGCGATGAGGGGGGGTTCGATGAATTCTGGGGGTCGGGAAAACATATCCTGGCGAAGGACCCAACCATATGCAGTTGTGAGTGCAGCAATTGTGAATCTCTTCTTCGGTGGCGCTCCCTATGGGGCAGCGAACCGTGCGAGGGGTGTGCCGACATGTGTAGCGGGGTACACAACACGAACGGAAACGATCGGCCTGAGCACGGGGGAGTGAGCGCGGGTGAGACTGAGCGCGAGCGCGTCTGATTGTGATTGAACTTGCGTGCGAGGAAGTCTATGTGCATGAATGCGAGCGTGGATACGCCTAGTGTACATGTATACGACTGTGAATACTGGGCGTGGCGGGGGCCACCAAGCGTATGAGGGGCGTACTGGGTGTGGCGGACGCATGCGGGCACCCCCACTGGGGCTTTAGGTGGAGCTCCTTATGGGGCCACGAAGCGCTGTACTGAGCGTGGCGGACGCATGCGGACAACCCCACTGGGGCCTTAGGCGGAGCTCCCTAGAAGACCACGGAGCGCTGTGCTGGGCGTGGCGGGCGCATGTGGCCTCCCCCACTGGGGCCTTGGGTGGAGCTCCCTATGGGGCCACGAAGGCTGCTCTGGGTGTGGCGGACGCATGTGGCCACCCCCACTGGGGCCTTCGGTGGAGCTCCCTATGGGGCCACGGAGCATTGTACTGGGTGTGGCGGACGCATGTGCGCATGTGGCCACCCCCACTGGGGCTTTGGGTGGAACTCCCCATGGGGCCATGAAGCGCTGTACTGGGTGTGGCGGACGCACATGGCCACCCCCACTGAGGCCTTCGGTGGAGCCCCCTTGTGTAAGGCCACGAAGCGCGTGAAAGGTGTGCCGACATGGGTGTGGCGGACGCATGTGGCCACCCCCACTGGGGCCTTAGGTGGCGCTCCCTATGGGGCCACGAAACGCTGTACTGGGTGTGGCGGACGCATGTGACCACACCAACTGGGGCCTTGGGTGGAGCTCCCTATGGGGCCACGAAGGCTCTTCTGGGTGTGGCGGACGCATGTGGCCACCCCCACTGGGGCCTTCGGTGGAGCTCCCTATGGGGCCACGGAGCATTGTACTGGGTGTGGCGGACGCATGTGGCCACCCCCACTTGGGCCTTGGGTAGAGCTCTCTATGGGGGCACGAAACACTGTATTGGGTGTGGCGGACGCATGTGGCCACCCCCACTGGGGCCTTGGGTGGGGCACGCTGTACTGTGTGTGTGTGTGGCGGACGCATGTGGCCACCCCCACTGGGGATTTCGGTGGAGCTCCCTATGGGGCCGCGGAGCATTGTACGGGGTGTGGCGGACGCATGTGGCCACCCCCACTGGAGCTTTGGGAATCGCTGTACTGGGTATGGCGGACGCATGCGGGCACCCCCACTGGAGCCTTGGATGGAGCTCCCTATGGGGCCACGAAGCGCTGTACTGGGTGTGGCGGACGCATGTGGTCACCCCCACTGGGGCCTTGGGTGGAGCTCCCTATGGGGCCACGAAACGTGTGAGGGGTGTGCCAAAGTGAGGGGGGTGACGGGAGGAGAGAGGAGGGGGGAGGAGGAGGAGGGGGAGGAGGAGAGGAGAGGAGTGACGCGGGGTGCTGTCTCTTCAAAACGAGGACCCAACACCACAAGATGGTTGGGGAAACGCAGTCGTTACATTCGCTCCCTCCGCCTCTCTTTGGATCCTGTGGCTGCGTGCCGCTGCACGCGTCTGGCTCAAGAGACAACTTTGAAGATAGGACGCAGCTGGCGTCTTAACGGAAAAAGGGGTGCGCGCACCTCCCTATTATTGCGCATACCACTATCCACTATCGCTTCTACTTGACGGAACACTGCAGCTAGGTCGGACGGCATCGTTCGAAACTCATCCATCTACAAGAGCCGCGCGAAAAGGATCCCGAAAGTAACAAGAGGAGGGCAAAGGAGACGCTCATTCGCCAGAGTATGCAGATTATCTGGCAACATACATGTTGCCAGTCGAAAATACGATGGATAAGAAGCTTGATGAACTTAGTCATAGTGATCACCACGGGGGCCGTAATTCGAATGATCAGAGTAACAGTGGTGAGAATGCGAAGTTCGATGAATCACTGGGCGATCTCGCCAGACGAACCCTAAAGGAGGGCGCGGAAACATTTAACATGTCCACCTTTTCCCAGAAGAAATAATCAAGGACTGAAGGATTATTTTAGTGGAGAGGGAGTTCCCTCGGCAATCGAATCAAGGATCGGAAGTATCCACCATCTCCCGATGAATGCCGGGGGAGCCAAGCAAGAACAGTGCCAGACCAGGGGTGGAAATCTTGAGTGCAGGAGGTGGATCCTTGCCGTCAGCAGACGGCATCAATGCACTTGTTGGAGCGTATGTAATCGCATGAGGGACGGAAGCGGAAGTCCCATTGACCTATGATTCTGAGATCAAGGATGGAATTTCCGAGGTCGTCGAGGTTGATTCCGATTATCCTGGGGCTGGGCTGGCGGGTCACGGTGCCCCTGGCGCCGGTCTCGTCGGCTCTGTCGAAGGAAGCGAGGATGACACGCAGAAGGTCCCAGTGCCACTTGACATGCCCGTGTCGTTGGCTACGGCCCAGAACCGACAAGAAGCGACTCCCGACGCAGTCGAGCGCGTCATGCGTGTTTCCCAAGCGTGGGGAGCACGTCCGAAGGAGCGCCCATGCAGCGCCAGGACCCCCCCCCCGCTTCCCTGGAAACTGGCCGGGGGTCCGACGCCCCCCCCCCCTTCGGGCCGGCAGTTTTCAGGTGGGGGTCCCTATCTAAAGAGGGGGGGGGCTTGGAAACTACTCCAGATTTCGTAATAAAAGGGAGGGGGTCTCAACCCTCCCAGACGAGAAGTTTTAGACCCCCCCCTGGGAGAACCCTCCAAAACATCGTCCCCAGACCCCCCCAGGCCCTCCAAGATAG